GCAAAAATTAATTTAAGATCCTGGAATGTAATACCCAGATATCGAAAAATTTCTATTTTGACGGTTTCCATACTTATTCTCATAACTACAGGGAATCGTAAGTTAATTTTTGTATTAGTCTTCAAGACCATGTCAGTGCTTTAATTTAGAAAATGTAATCTTAATTTGAGATAAATTTATTCTAACCCTCAGCAAGAAAACCTATATTTATTGTCCAATGCTTGATGGATGAGAATAAGCTTTTATTAAAGATTAAACTTACGGCTGGCGGAGAACTGATAATAAGGAAATACATTAAGGCGAGAGTTCTTAAATTTAATTCGATGGGAATGAAAGTTTGGGTAACCAAGGGTAAATCTTCGTTTCTGAAGATAAGTTTTGCATAATTCTTAAAAATACACAGAGTGGTACAATTCGCCATGAATAATATATATATATATATATGTAATAATAAAAATTCCATAGTCAAAATACAATTAACTTTCTAACTGTATGTTCTTTTCATTTAATGGCGACGGCCTTATTGAAAAGTACGTGGGAATTAAATCCACGCCCCGTAGTCAAGTGTTTTTCCCGCCTTTCTACGTACAGTTATAAATGTTCAGAGATTTTTAAGGAACTGGAATGGCTGGACGCTGACGTCATTTTTGGAAGCTCCTCTTTCCAGAGCTATAAGGACGCAAAGGAATATCGGGGTCTTTTCTTTAATGTAATGTTGCAGTAAACTTCATACAAAGTTATTAGTAATCTTTTTTATTTACCCCCGGAAAGATTTTTGCAACTGCTATTTTCTCTGCCAATAATAATGGATCCTGTTTTTAAACTTATCGTCTAATAATTTTAGCACGACTACATCTATATTCTTCACCAATCTATTTATTCGACAAAGCTGGTACATCACTTATATATATATATATATATATTATATAGACAGAGAGGAGAGAGCAGTTTAATGAAAAGCATCTTTTACTGGTTAAATCTTTAGGGACGTTGGGATAAAAAAATGTACCATAAAAAGAAACAATAAAAAAAAAAAAAATAAAAAAAAAAAACTACGATAAACTGTAACACTAATGAAAAAAACATGAGCACAGTGAATAGGCACACTGAGGACTCACCGTTTCTCCCGGCCATCCTTCAGGTAGTGCTTTTCATTTCTTTTTTTACAAAACGAGATCGGCTTTAGCTATTCCCATCAGTGCCCGAGCGGTAAAATCGCTGAACACTGGTAGTTCAACCTGAGTTTGATTCCAGGCGAACGGCTTGGTTACATGGGTGTTTTCATGGTTTTCCCTATTTACAACATAGATAAGAGCCGATTTCCCTTAGAAAGTCCACAACTAAGACATTCCTTCTTTTAGGCAGCTACTCCTAGCTTGCTTTGCAGTAATGGAATAAAACCAAACCAAGCCGATAAATTTAGTGGAGGGCTGGAGAAATTGTAATAGTGAAATATTACTTGGGGATAAGAATGCATGATCTGAAAATGTGCTTATGTGTTACAGCACATTTTTAGATTATGTTTTTTTATTTACGTTTATATGTACTGAGTGCGTGCGATAGTATGTTTAATAATAACGTAATAATGTAAAATGCTAAGGAATAAATGATAGTTATCATATTGCGTTTTCTAATTAGTAAGCTGCACATGTAAAATAGTTGCGATTAGGAGGGCATTATAAGGTAGCAAAAGTCGATCACAGCATAGTCATTCATTAAACGGAACAATTTTAAAAGCTAAATGCAGTTATACTTTTAAACTGCATTAAAAACTTTTTAAAATGTTATCCCCCCAAAAAAAGTTATTTTTTTTTACACACTGCATAATACACGGTGTTAGAAACGTCTGTCCGCTGCTGTATATTTATAATGAATAAGTTGTATATATATTATGAGTAATATAAAATACATATAGGACTAAAAACAATACTAACATTTATAACAAAAGAATAAATTGTTTAAAATACTTTACTTTGCTGTGCTGAAAGCAATATACATCGACTACCGAAAGGCATTCTGGATTGGCGACATTTGTAATGGTTGGAAATTTCCTTAGTGTGCGTGATTAAATGTCTTCTTCTACAAAGATAGCAATATAACATGTTGGCATTATGATAAGGAAGTCGAGTGCTGTAGATTTTGGCACAACTTGGATCTCGAAGAAGGCGTAATGTTCATAAGTGCAAAGCATCTTTGTGGCACGGGGCACATAAAATGCTCTGAAACCGAAAGACTTATCGAGAGGCTGAAGTAATGGAAAAGGGATGGGAGGCCCTCGAATTCATCCATCAAGATGTTCTCTTATAAGTTCTAACGAAGTTGGACAAATACTTACTCAATTAAGGTATCAAAGGATAGCAATATGCGTAAACCTTGCTTCTTGGGCCTGGTAAAAATCGCGATTTAATGTCAAATTTTTGTTTGCTTATGGTTGTGCAATTTTGAAGAGCTTATTTTAAATACGACGTTTTAGGTTAGATATCTTCATTTTCTGTGTGGGCGGGAGGGGGAGAAATTCTGAAACCAGTATGCCAAATGTAACGTTTCGAGTAAAAGTGTTTCCGATTATCTCCGTATCAAGATTGCATTATTTTAGAAATTTTATACTTGCAATTAAAATTAAAAAAAATTTAAACTTAAGTGGAGTTGTTAATGTAACATCTGTTTAAGATGTTAGATTGTTCAAAAAAAAGTTTCAGCTTTTTCTTTAGCTGTTAATTTATCAATTAAATATATATTTATAACAATTATTCTTCATCGTAATTAAAACTCAATATAAAGTGCGTTTATATTGATTATCACTTTTATTAATCCCTATCGATCCTCACTTTAGCTTAAAATTTAAATATTATAAATGATAATTTTATTACTTATAAGGAGGTGTGAACTGTATGTTAGGTTTAAGTAGTGATGGTATACAAACAGTATCCAAGCAGTAATAAATGAAATTTAACAGAAAGTATGACTGGTTACCATAATTGCATGAATTCTTTTGTAACAGAACTTCATTGTTTTTTTATCTTTACAATTGATATAAATCAGCTTCATAGTTCAATAGTGTTAAAATACTGAACTTGTACTCCCTTCTACATTTTTACAATGTAGCCAACAATACGTTAAAATGATAAAAATGTTCTATGGTAAAAGAAATAGCATTTAAATTTACGCCACAATCATAGATCTATCTTTAATCTTATCGAAGTGGAGCATTATGTTGAAAACAAAATTTCCATTTTCATGGAGTACCAGTTTTCCTCAGAGGTAACTGGAGTTGTATCATGTATAGAAACATGAAGCACTAACTCGGAATAAAATTTGGAACGGGAAAATGAAGTGAAACGGCTGGAGTTAAATTCTATGGAATATTCGCATGGGGACCTTTACTGTTTGAATCATAACCGAGAAGCTCTCAGAGGATTATTTCCGAAGCCGCAAAAGATATGAATTCAACAACACCGTCTCTAGAGATGAAAATAGCTTTGTTTAAATTTAACTTGGAACCATATTTAATAGTAGAGCAACTAAAAACACTATTTACTTCTTTCTTTGGAAACATCCGTTGCAATCTTTTTTCTTAGAGTTTTGTATTTGCGAAATTCTCCATTTTGAATCAAATTTTTATCATAATATTTCTCGACTTGTGTTACAGATTATTAAAGGAGTTAAAGCTACAAGAATCAGCATAATATTCATAAATTTGCAGAACTACTTTCGAAAGTTTAAATTCTAGAACCTTCTTCTTTAACTGCAGAACTACAAATGAGGAAATAGAGATAAAGATAAGTCCGTACGAAAGCCAGTGATAAGTCCATGAGAAGTGAGTATACATACAACGGGTAAATAAATCAGATCCACAAGTCAACTGATGTAAAATGAAAATAATTTCGCATGGATTCTTGAAATTATGAGGCGAAGTAGGAATGTTTTTATGCTTAGTAAATAGACGAGCCGAAGTTATTAATAAATGATTTTTAAGCTGAAAAGTAATATTAGCTCACGCTTGTATGTGTGATTTCAGTACGAGATTATATTTTCCAAGATATTTGATGGTCATCTACATTGGAGCACTTTCGATAATTTTAAAATTTATTTAATTGCTAAGGTAATTATAATCATGACAGAATAAACTCCAATGCAAATAGAAGTTACATTGCCATCGTTTTAGATTTGGTGGAAAAAAAGCGACAAAAACTCGGTATAAGCGTAAAACAAAAGAAACGAAAAGAGCTAAGCTTAAAGAGCTTTTTTTATCTACAAAAAGATGAAAATAAATTTATTAAAAGCGATTACATGTTTTCAAAGTATAGTTGGAGAAATAAATTAACGATAATACATTGTATTTGTGTTTTATGTTGACATCAGATTTAGAATAACTTCATACATCAATGAAAATGATATGATAATAATAGAATACATTGTAGAGGTCAAAAATGGATGATTTGCGTTTATTCAACAAACAAATTAGGTTCATTCTTTCGAGAGCCTGCTTCTTTTGAATTTTTCAAGAAATGAATAATTTTGATACTTGTATATTTAAGAATAATTTGATTAGTGATAGTTAGCAAAAAGTTGTGATTTTTGCATTTTTAATTAATGTTGAAGTTAGAGATGCAGTACAGGAATGTCAGATTTTTATCGTATCAGTGAACTACTAGCCTAAAATAAATAATAATGTGATAACAGAACAATAAAATATAACCAAAAGTATCTTTCTTTTGAAACTGGTAACTTAGCATAGTAAGAGTTTAATGAAGCGAGGTCTGATATTATGTGAACCAATTTTCTGAATCCAATGACTAATGAAATAAAATGTATTCATTAACTCCTTTTAAAGCTCGTCTTGAAAAATTTGGAATGTAAAATAAATGATAAATATAGAACAGAAAGTTTTGACACTTATGAGTGAGTGTATGTTAGGATACGATTTATACTGCACTACTTTGAAAAAAATTTTTTCAAAATTTATTTACACTTTTTAATAAAATTGTGTATATTTTCAGGGTTTACCCCCTGACGGCATCGTTATATTTGGTTCTCAACTTCATACGCATTTAACTGGTACAGTAGTCTACACCAAACACATTCGAGGATCAGCTGAATTACCAGAACTGAACAGAGATAACCATTATAGCACGCATTTCCAAGAGATTCGTCGTTTGAAGCGCAAAGTCCGTATTTTACCAGTAAGTAAATATTTAAATACTTAAATATTTTTTGTGCTTTAAAAAGTAGTTTTATGACATATTATTGTAAACCTACATAAGTGATTTTGTGGGTTACTAAAAGTATAAATAATAGAAAGGAGAAGGTAAAAGATTGTAAATGAAGCATTTAATAGCAAATAGAAAGATATGAAAAATGTAAGCCTTTGAAATAAATTTGAATGAAAAAGGAAGAAAAATTTGTTTTCCTCCCATTTGTTTTCCTCCCCAAGTATAGATTATTTAATACAATGAGTAAAACACATAACTTTATTTTTGCATCTTTATCCTTTTACTTCTATTTCTTTATTTTCTACCTTTTATTTATCTGCAGTTGTTTTAAACTTGATTTTGAAAAACCTAAAAAAAAGTTTTTTCTGCTTTGGTAGTATAAATTGTACAAGGAATTTTAAAGACGAAAGTGACCTATGACTACGTCTTTGAAATTACGACAGAAACCTACGAAGAGTTTAAAATTTATTTAACTCAGATAAAAATTGAAGAGAAGACACTGCTCGTGCTCACAGAACAGCCAGCATTTATGGCTTGAGTCAGTAATAACGAATTTGACTTAACTAAGTAAAATGTATGTTAGTCCGACAGTTACACAGACAGAAAAACGCGCAAGTTGCCTCAGAACAAATAGCGACGCGACAAGCCCAACGGCGAGAATAACGCAACGCCGCAGATATACTGCTCTCAAAAGAATCAATTATCAAACGTGGCCTTCAGCAGGCGAAACATACTCTAATTCTACCCTCTAATATGTTCCTTTAAATACTATCTTTTTTCTACCTCATATGAACACACGGGAACTACAAATTTGCATTCTGGCAGGAAAATGGGAAGCGAGAAAGACAAGAAAGGTGATTAACATAAAATACGGGAAAGGTAATTAACATAAAATAACTGGTTAGGAAAACTAAATAAAACTTTATAAACTCTTTATTAGTCCAAAGGGGATTTGTCCTAGAAGGACTATTGTTTTCGTTTTGCGATTTTTCGTCGAATCACTATAAACGGCGAATCATTTTTCAAACTGTTGCCAACAATGTTAGAGTCCTGCATTACATTTGAAGAAATTAAATAATGACAAATCTGCATAAATGTATGTATATTTCTCGCAATATGATAAAACAACGAATTTTGAATGATGTAACCCTCCTACGAATATGGGCATGTGGAAGACCAAATTTGAAATTTGGAATTTGTTTTATTATCGATTTCATATTTTGTAAAACTTTAACAAATTTTTGAGTAACAAACTCAACGATTTAAAAGGGAGCAATGGCAACACTCTACGGGGAAGGGGACCTTTCTATCTCCAGCGAGCGGAACTGTGTATCGGAAATTCTAACGATATGCTCATTTTAAAATTATTTTGCGACATCGCTATTGAACTGAATTTTATGGTTTAAGTGAAAAACACATGATATTTAATAAATAAAGGTAACACACAAAACATTAAAAAAGCGCCCCTTTGGACGTAATTTAAAATCTGAAACCTTTCAAATTTTTTTTATTTATTTATTTTCATTTTTGTTTCCTGTTGTTTAGTTTGGATATATAAATATACCAGGTGATTAATTTCGAAAAATAAATTTTAGTTCCAAAATATCCACTAGAGGGCGCCTTTTCGGAAAAACAGGAAATTTAACAGAATAAACGGCCAAAACGGAATACAGGAATAATGTTAATAATCTAGAACAGGAATTGTGATTAATAAAATGCAAAACTGGGAAAAGCTGTCAGCTGTAGAAGAAAAATGTCGAAATTTGCATGCTTGGGAAGAAGAGGAAGCCGATGTTTCCGGCTGTACTAATGACGGTGTCTTTATTTGAACGTGCGTTATTGCTGAGGCTGTTTTACGAAAACAAGAGGAATGCTTCTGCTGCAATTCGTGAATTTCGTCGTAGAAAGAACCTACGGCGTGGACGAATGTCTATTAAAGGTATCCGAGCCATGATTAAGAGATTTGAAGAGATGAGGAAAATAGGAGTTGAACCTGGAAGAGGCCGTAAACATGTTACACCGGTATTTGTTGATGCAGTCAAGACATCTGTTGACGCACAGTCACAGACATCAGAATTTGGGGGCAGTTTCTCGACAGACAGGCTATTCTTACAGCACCGTCCAAAAAGTATTCAGAAACATAATGCACTACTTCCCATACAAGATCCGCCATACACAGGAGTTGCTTCGTAGGGACAAGCCACAAGGTCTCTCATTCGCAGTCAGTTTTATCAAGAGATTGACTGTTGAACTGTCATGGCCTTGGAATATTCTGTGGAGAGACGAGGCTCATTTCTACCTCAATGGGACAGTCAACACACAGAATTGCCGCATTTGGTCTATGGAACATCCGCGGATCCACACTGAAATCCCTCTACAGTCTGAAAAGGTCTGGGGGGGATTCACGGCGACATTCATCCTTGGGTCATCCCTTGGGCCTGTCACATGTTCCATTACGGACCGTGGATACCATGACACGCTGCAGACGATTGTTGTGCCGCAACTGCCGTGTCATTACATCGACCATTTTCATCCAGAACGGTGCTCCCCACATATCCATGGGTCTGCGAAGGCGCTATTACTCCAACACCTCACAGAGGAACGTGTTATTAGTCGCTCCATGGCCACCATGTTCGCATGATCTAATTCCGAGCGAGACGTTGAATGACTTAAAGAATTCCATAACACTTCATGTGCGAAGCCTTGCAATTTATCAGTTACGATCTGCTGTTGAACACACTGTCCATCGACTTGAAATTTTGCAGGTGAATGAGGATGGTCACCTGGAGCACCTTTCCCTACATCGTCTTGCGCACGATTAACAACAGCTCCTCTTGTGCAATTTCGTCCTAATCTGTTCTTGTTTCTGCAAACTGAACTGTGTTCGTATCTCCCTTACCTTACTTAATGTGGTTCGATGACAAAGTGCTCAAAAACTAGTCAATATATGTTAATATTGTTTCTGTATTCCGTTTTGGTCGTTTATTGTGTTAAATTTCCTGTTTTCCCCGGTAAGGCGCCCTCTGGTGGACATTTTGGAACTAAAAATGTTTTTTTCGAAATTTCGTGGGCGCATCACTTGTATAGCCCATATGCAAAATTTCGTTGCACTCCGTTCACCCGTTTGGGCTGTAGGATGACGTTTATAGGGGAAGTTTAATTATAACCACTCAGTACATTGAAAGAAGCTAGCCAAAGCATGCGCATTTCAATAATGAATAGTTCAGTAAAAGAATATAATTATTAATAAAACCAATTTGTATTGTAATACGAATGTATTTAATATATTGTTTTAATGTATGAAGTCTGTGAAAGGCCTTTGAGATAAAATTCTTCTTTCTAGGGTGATGGTTTGCTAACAACTTGCCATTACTCAACTAATGACCGTGAGAACATCACTTTGGTAAGATTTGACTTGTATTCTACGTTCCAATGATTGCATTTTAGATTCTTTTATACTTATTTGAGTACTTTATACTTTCCTAAACGTATTCATTATTAAATGTCATAAATTAAACTTAGCGTTATTTATTTAAGAAAAAATAATAAATTTTTTAATTTTTGAAAGTATGAGGATATTTTGTGCACTATTGTTTTTAGTTTGAATGTCAACGATGTAAACAATGACGGCTTCAAATATAGAAATAATATTCTGAAAGTAATTCAGTTTCTTAAGATTTCATTTCATAACTGTATTATTTGTTAAAATTTATACTCTTTTCGTATAGAAATGATTGCCCGATTTGTAAATTTGTGACGGATTTAGGAGATACCAGCGGGAAGAATAGCTCTGAATACGTTACTTTATAATTTGATAAAATAGAATTCTGATGTCAATTTATTTTCATTCTCCTTAAAAAGCTTGTAGAGGCATTAGGATTTTTTGGAAGCAGGAGGTCATGAAAAATGAGCAACGCCTTCGCCGGGAATCGAACTACGGCAGGGACGGAAACAAGAGTAATATAACAAGCGGCAGACTGTCGTCGACATACATTTACCGGTGAGAATGGTACGTAAGATAACTAAAAGTAACCGGATATCATACGCAATAATACTCTTCAAGGAAACGCCAGACAGGATGCAAATATGCAGCTCCACAACAATGTAGTATAAGCAATGTTTACCTCTCCACCTCCACACGTGGACACTGTGGTTGTTCGGGCTAAGCGGGAAGCTATATTCATCATTGAAAACAGTACGACTTCAATCAGCTACTTTCTACTCTTCACGGGAATGACCCCAGAGCATACGTTATTAGCCATAAGCCAGCGTTAATATTATACATAATTAAGACAATGTAATCCATACTTCGCCAGTCGTCGTCTAATGGCTCTATTCGATACAATGTTGGTCCATGTCGGTCCCATGTCGGACCTATGTCGGTCCATGTTGGTCCATGCTGGTCCATGTCGGTCCATGCTGGTCATGTCGGTCTGGTCGCCCTTCGTGTTCTGTTGCTGCTGTCCGCCCTCTGACAGTGGGCGAGCTGGAAGAACTGTTGACATCATCGTCTGATTGTTTCATCGTTTCGAACCTCATTCTTAGCGATTTAGAGGTATGATCCAGAATGTGATGATGTATTCCCCTCTAAACCTCACCTGATTTCGTGTGACACATTGAGGTTGGTTTCAAAGGTATTTATTTATGCATCTTGGCTACGGCAATAACACTACCACACAAATTGGCCCGAATTGACACCTTGGACGAGCGCTTTTTATATGTCTGGTTGCATTGCACTATACGCTCTATGGGTTTATAAGGTAATTTCTCCTTCCTTTCTGCATGCCTTCATGGTGTAACGGTAGCTCACTGGGCGAGTATTCGAGAGGTCGATGTTCGAATTCCGGCGTGGGCATTGCTCATATTTCAAACACTCCCTGCTTCAAAATAACCTAATGTCTCTACAGGCTCAGTCCTTGTATATCTTTAGTAGCGTGCATAACTGAGTTTGAGTTATTTGCACGTTAAGTGTCGGTATCTTCCACTGATTTTTCGTGGTGCACGGATTTTGCTTCACTACAAAGCATATTTTACCAATATTCAGATTGTTGCTTGACACAGGAAAAATATTTATATGCGTTGAAGATGCAACAGTTTACGTATTCTGAAATACAACAAAAAAGTAAAGTAAAAGAAGCTATATATTATTTAGAATTTGATACTAATAGCCTCTAACAAGCTTTAAAGTCAGAATTATAATGACAGATATTTTTTCTTAAAACAGTGATCTCTTTCGAAGTGTAATATTGTTATAAGCACCTTTAGTAAAATTTTGTGCATACGTTCTGATAGTTCTGATTTGTATGTTAAATTGAATATAAATTGAGCTAAGCCAAAAGCTTTATATCAAGAATTAAAAATTAATCTGAATTGTTAACGGTTTTATTTATTGAATTTTAAAAGTATATTTGGAGTAATAAAACCATTGAATTAATTATGACAATTTTTATAGGCATTCGAAATTAAATAAAAGTAACTATTTATTCGAAATGATATTTGTAAGCTGACAAAACTGTTTAAGAGGATTAAGAATATAGTCTGTATGAAAATAAGTAAATTAACTAAATAGATTTGCTTTCAAATTTCAGCAGTAAAATAAAAATTCAACGCAATCTATTTTTTAAATGTATTTTGATGCAAATATGATTGTCAACACAGCTGAATGTAATTCTTATATATTTTTAATAGGGAGGATTTGCAATAAGCGACGAGATGTGCGTTAATTATGTACATTATTATCCGAAGACGAATCTGGAAGTGTGCAAGAGCAGTATCGACACTAAGGTCCTTAAAAGCTACTTTAGATACATGAACACGTGAGTAATTCATATTTTGAAATACTAAAATAGCGTAATTTAACAGTAAGCTATGCATCTGAAAGCATCTTAAAAACTAACTGTATGTGGCTGATATAAAATGCTACAATGTTATGTTATTTTAATAAAGAAGCAGCGTTATTTGTATTAATGTGAATGTTAAGAAAATTTTCTTAAATTAATTTGTGTTTATATATTTTGTGAATATGATTTATATCAGTATTCTTTAATTATGATCGCTAATTCAAATTTTCACGAAGTAGTTCCGTATTTAGTATTTTTTTCGGACAAAAGAATAAGAATCACGCTTATAATAACTACCACTCTGACTAAAACTTCAAACGAAATCTAAATTTTGCTTAATAGTTGCAACACCGTTAATGTTTCTTATTCTGAGGAGTGATACTTAATTCAAAAGATCATTAACGTGGATTCAGAAGACAAGCTATGTGGATTACAGCTGGAGGCTCATGCTAGGAAAAGATGCTCTTATTTACTATATTAATTGTGTAGCTATTCTGAGTCGAAGATAACTTCGAAAGATAGATCACATTATGATGGATGTTCGCTGTCTTGTAAAATCGGGTTATGCTTTGAATGTGAAAATCATGAAAAACAAAATGCTAGAAAAAATTTTAATTATTTCTTAAAGTTTTAAAGTGAAAATTTTAAATGATATTTTACACACTTGCTGAGCATTTTGCCTGACTTTCTTACAAAAGAAGATAGAAGGAAACGTTCCCTACGAGAAAGAACACTCACCTTGTCACTGAAAATATTTCTTGCGTAAAACATAGGTATATACTGTAATATATCAAGCATTAATAATCCAAAATTCTTCAATTCCTATATAGAACGCGAAGATTCCCATCTTTGATATTTGTTCGCATGCAAAAAAATGTCTGTATTAGAGACATTAGGTATTTTTTGGAAGCAGGCAAGGTGAAAAATGAGCAATCGCCTTCGCTGGGAATCGAACCACGGACCTCTGGAATGCCGGCCCAGCGTGCAGAACCACCACACCACGAATACACGCTAGGAAGGCGGAAGAAATATTTTATAATGTATTTAAACAGTAATCTATAAATTTTCAGCTGTGTATGATGTCATGATGAAAAATTCAATCGCTTTTTTGCAATGATTGGGGAGCACATGATCTTATAGGCATCCGAAGCTCACATAGTAAAATGCATTTACTGACTGCCTGAGTTAAATTCGTGATGCACACACATTTCCATGACGGATAAAGCAATGACCATGATTTTGATTTTGGACCTGCTTCTTCGAGATATGTTTCCCGCAACTCTTCCATTCTTTGTTTTTCAACTTGAATTCTAACTAGTGTTCATCACCCGTAATGACATTTGAAAGCAATCTCAGTTTGATGAGTCAATACACTACCTCGTCCATTTCAATTTTCATTCTGCAATCTGACTTTTTAGAACCATGTTTGCAGTTTTCTCACTCCCCTATTTCTCATAAAAAAATGTAAACATTCGTTAATCTAAAATTTAACTCTTCTGGAGACTAGAACATACTAACAGTTATTCGTTGATCGCGGGGCACGACACGCACCGCGTGACACCAAAGCTATGCTCCGCCCACGCGGAAATTTGGAAGCCATCTTGTCAAATAATATCGCCCCTCCAGGAAACTTTTAATGTACTTGAGTAATGTTGCTTTTTGCACCGTGGTTTCTTCATATGCATTTTAGTACCTAATGAACCTCTCTTCTGTTTTTTCCTACTTGGGGAAAATTTTCACGTTAATTCGCTGTTCCATTAAACAAGGTCTTTCCACCTCGACCACTCACAATAAAACTGTTTTATAACAAATGTCCAACCTAACTTATATGAACGTAAGAACAGTTAGTGAGTAAATCTTATGTAAGAACTGAAAAGAAAGCGTTGTGTAAATTTCTTTCGAAATCATGCACATGAGTTATTACTGGATATATTATTACCTTAGATAGCTATGTAAACAGCAGTAAATGCATTTCCGTTGTTCTTTATTGAATTGCTTAAAACCAATCTTATCATTGATTTACTTGACATGATGAGACATTTTTATGTTTATTTTTATTTCATTTTTCTAAATCATATGTTCACGAAATCTCTTGTTCCATTTCATTTTAAAAGAGTATAACGTAATGCATTAATAAATAAAACCAAGATATATTTAATCAATATTATAATTGTTGTTTTCAGACAACGTCTAGTTCGTTATTCAGAAAACATTAAGTTTCTTAAATTCGCAGTTGATTACAATGTATGTTTATTCAATTATTAAAGTTTCGTATACAACTAGAACATTTTTATTTTAGGTATAATGATGAAGATACCTCAGATGAAAAAACTGTTGCGGATAATTATCATTCAATTCACTGGAGCCAAAACAATGCCGATTTCTTGAGTCATTTATATTCTGATGCGCCTCTCTCGATGCAATGTAATCAGTCATCTGGAGATAGATTTCCAGTAAGTTGAACGTCTCGAATTGATGTTTTTCTTTTTACTTATAAATATGTATATATATATGCATAACTAAGTTATATTTAGTGTCAAATTAGATTTTTTCTAATTATTTTTCATTACTATTAATCAGCTCAAAATTTGTAGTTAAGATAATTTCGTTACTTAGTGCATGTTAGGCTTAGTTTGCTCTGGCTTATTTAATTATGGAAAAACACTTTTATTTAATTATGAGTATTTGCCTGAGGGAAAGACGCATTAGTGAAGAATTTTCTGAGGGAAATTAGCTCGTATACGCGTTACGCATGATGAAATCCGAGAAAACTTCCATGCAACCAACCTGTTCTCCGGAATTCAAATCCTAGACCGAACTACCAATATTCAGCGACTTTAGCGCTCAGCCGCTTTTGGGCCGCCATGTTAGACTAAGTAACAGTCTTTTGCTACCGGACATGTCGAATTAGCATTTTTTCATTTCAAAATTTTTGCTGCTCCAATGTTACAGAGTTTAGGAACTAAATCTTCTTCTTTATTTTTATATCTTTTTGGATTAAAAGTTTCATTTATAATTTTTGCATATGTTGGATTGCTTCTCTTTACATGTTTTGTTTTTTGGATTCAATCCGCTTAAAGCAGGAAAGAAACTGTCTTAGATGTTTAAACGTTTTTGCTTGCTGAATATTTTGATGCTATAATTTTGAAAAAAAAAAAAAAAAAAAAAAAGATGTCTAGGGCCTGTGTAATTTCGATTTTTTTCACGAGTTACTTGGCTTATATATACATGTTTCGTTTTTCGTACTCTGTCTACTCAAAATAAAACAAAAATTAAGCCTTTTTCAAGCTTGTTTATGATATTTTATGCTATAAATTTGCAATATTTTGCACCACATACTACGGCTTGTAGCGACGTAAAGATACTTTGATTAATTTGAGATTATTTTTAAGTATTAAACTTTTGATTTCTGTCCTTGCTGGTTCTAAGACAAGCTGATATATTTACTTCTTTCGTAACACGAACCATCTGATGAAGGTACAGCGAAAGATGTAAATCTCATTTTTCATTTTCATTTTGAGTTTTGGCATTTTTTGCGCCTATCATGCAGTTTGCCACTATGTTTCTGATCTATTTTTTCCTTTCTGCTCTATTTTCATATGGAGTATTCCGAAATGAAGGATGGATTTTAAACGTATTATTTGAACTCAATTTTCATTATTACCACCATTTGTTGCTGCTTTCAACACGCATTTGGACTTGTTTTTGTATTCATATTATATATCTAGATATATATATATTTATTATGTTGTATGATTTTAAATTCATTTAGTGCGAAAAACAAGTTACTACTACTTGCGCAATTGCTGCAAAGTAAGTTAATAATAATTTATTTACTAAATAATATTGATTAATTGATTATATTATCTAATAAGTTTAATTATAGTAAGATTATCTTAAAAGAGTGAATCCATACTAGTAAGTAATATTTTGAAAGATGTTTTAAAGTAACTTGAAAGAAAAATGTTAAAATGTTTTAACGGGGACTGGAATTAAATCATGAATAACAAAATTTCAATTGTAAAAGGAACAAATTAAATGCACGTAATCATTGTCATTGATCGGAAATTAGTTGACTTTTCAAGGGGAACAAATCAACTCCCTTTCATTGAACAATAATTAATAAATAAATACGAAGGTGTTTCGTCTTTACTCGAGCAATAAGGCTAAGCCAAATCGGCAATTCAAGTCAGGCCAAATATTTCCGTGAATAGAAGGGCTTATGAACCAATGCTGATATTCAAAGAACTTATTTCTATTAAGCATTTTAGCCAATTCAATTTTGAGTGAAAAGCAATTTCTGCAGTATATATGGGATGTACCAGCTTTTGTCGTAGCTTAAATTATCAGACGATAAGTTTTAAAACACAGGATCCATTTATTATATTTCAGGAGAAAATAGCAGTTACAAAATCAGATATCCGGAGTAAATAAAAAAGAATTACTAATAACTTTTTGTATAAAGTTTACTGCATCGTGACATTAAAGAAAAGCCCCGATATTCTTTTGCGAGTCCTTTTATAGCCTCTGGAAAGGCGGAGCTTCCAAGAAATGACGTCAGTCTCGTCAGCCAATCCAGTTCGCTTTAAATATTTCCAGAACATTCTATAACTGTACGTGTAGAAAAGGCGGGAAAAAACTTGACTACGGGGCTGTGAATTTAATTCCACGTACTTTCAAATAAGAGAACGTCGCCAATTAAAAATGAAAAGAACATACAGTTAGAATTTTAAGTGTATTCTTGACTATGGAATTTTATTATTACATATATATATATACGTAGACACAATTAAGAAATATAATGTAAGTAATCTTTTACTTTTCTTTGGAGATAATATATCAGTCTTGATGAATGTTGATAATGAAATTTCAAAATATATAATCTTTTATCATCCTGTATCGTCTTTCGTACTTCAAACGTTTGAATTGTCAAGAGTTTATAGGTAAAATTAATGCCCCCTCATTCCGTTTTCATTCGCAGTATTCAAGACTATAAGCTGGTTTAACAAACGTTTTAAAATTTATGCTGCTTTAGCTAAGCAATAATTACCATGTCTATTAGAATAACGGAAACAAAGTTTTGAAAAGGAAAATAAATTGTAATTTGTTTGCTGTATTGACGTGAAAACGTATTGTAAGAAATGTATTTTAAATCATTGATATATTGACACAAATACACAAATAAATCTGCTTAATCAGAGAAAAGTAAAATTTTTAACATTCAGACTTTTGTTAAGTTGAAAATTTCGATAAATCAAGATCGTGTCAAAATGGTGAACTCAAGATTAATGTTAGATTTTCTTTACAAGTTAGATTTCTGACTAATCAAATGTTTTTACTTAATTTAATTACGGGCTATCAATGTTCAGCTATAGTACCAAATTACAAATTCTCAGAATATTTTAGAACATTACAAATGAAAATGAAAACATTGGAAACAATGCAGTACAAGATAGATTTCAAAGGAAGAAATTATCAGTTTTTCAGGACGAAGTAGTTATTTTGTAAATCATCTTTTTTGATGAGTTTGAGGAAATACTAAAAGAAGGAGAACGACTCTCACTGTTACATGTGCATCATCAAATAATAAAATGCTGTAATATTTAAAACGATATATTGCGATATGAGAGCTTACGATATTTTATGTAGAGTTCCCGCATACTCAAAACGACAAGCTTGGTTACAACTTACTGTGAACGATTTATTATCAAAAACATATTCGTGAACATTACACATACAATTAGAAGACGCACAAAAGGCAAATTTTTATGGTTTGAAAATTTCTTCTTTCTCTTCAGTATTAATATTTCGACATTCCAGGATCAAGCAAACGATTTTTCTGGAAAATAGTTATCTTACGTATTTAAGTATAAAATGCTGCTTATTAACTGGTAAAGGAAGTACGAATACTGCCAGAAACAACCAGTAAGCATGTCCAGTTATGTAAGCATGATGTAAGTCAGTTAGGAAGGAATGTCCACTTAGGAAGAGAAGATGCGTTAAGACCGGCGAAGTATTTGTTGATTCAGTTTAAAAAAAACTCCATTTAAATAGAATCTGTTAATTAAATGAACAGCTCGAACAGAGGAATTAATTAGAGCCTAAAATATCAAAGAAATAAGTTCCTATTTAGGAAAGCTGATAATTACACTAAAAATAAGCAAAATTGATAATTACGGGTTAACTGCTAATTACGCTCTACTATTGTTTTACATCATATTGAGGTTGTCTCGAAATTTTAAGTTTTTTATGATAAGCCTCAAGTTTTTGATAATGGAATAAATAATTTTTGAAATAAATAATTTTTGTAAGAGACTTCAGTTTTAATTCTTTTTCAATAATTTCCTCACAGAAACTTTTTTTAACAATACGAATGTTGTAGTTTGATTTCTCTAAAATAGTAATATTAAATTTGTTTCTGAGTTCTTCGATTTCATCATGAAGTCTTTGATGTTAGACATACTTTCGTATGAACGTTATTGATTAGAAATGATTTCTTTTTTTTTGTTTAAGTTTTGTGATAAATTCAATATAATTATAAGTTGGATTAAGGAAAAAAATTTAAAAATCAAGGAACTCAAAAATTTGAGCAAATCTCAGTACAATAAATGTCCATGCATATAAGCACCGCCCAAATTTCACAAAGTCCAATCAACCTTAAGTTACTGGCTATAATGAAGTTAAGAACCACAAAAAGTAACTGATTTAAGCTTTACCAATATTTTGAAGCAAGATCGTCAACTAGTTAATATAGCCCTCATAAAAATAGACATAGCAATAGGATTATTCAACAACATAATCCATACAAGGAACATAATCCATACAAGTTATCACAAAAAAAAAATCAAATTGTAGAAAAGTAACTGAAAACACACAAAATCAGTATCTCTGGTTGAATTTAGAGCAATCTCACTGAATTTTATAATATGCTTCCAGAAAGTAAAGAAATTATCAGATTAGAACTTAAACACAACCGTCCTCAATTGCACATAGTTTCATTACATTTCAAGTTAAAATCTATCAGGAAATTAATGCTGTTCTAATGGGTGCATATGCTCTACAACTTAATGTAAGCTTTTTCCCTTAAATTAGCTTCATTGATAAGTTTAATGCTTCAGACATATTTAAGCTTACGATATTATTAATATAATTATAATAAATAAATGCAATGAAATTAGAAATCAAATTTATCCAAAATGCCTTAAACTAAATCAAACTAACGTTAACGAAATAGAAGCATAATATTTAGGCATCAAAATCTTCAGCATTAACAAAATTAAAAATTTCCATAAATAAAGAATATTTTACTTAAAATCATTAAACATTACAATTATATTGATACTCAAACATTGTACAAAAATACATTGGTACTGAAACATTTCTAAGAAAATTCTAGCTAGTACAATTATTAATCAAACAATCAGAATAAGAAAAATTTTATCAACATTGAGGAATTTTTAAAACAACCTTTCAAATAATATCCTCAAAAACAATAAACATTTCTTACAAGTTTATTAAAAAGTAAATCGCAAAATTACAATTAAGAGTTTAATTACTATTTGATTTTAAACTGTTAATATACTTGACAAGTCATACTTAAACACTAGCTGAAGGAAACAAAATGAAAATTTTATTACAGTTAATTTAAACATTGTTATTTCAAAATGCTTTAGACTTTAGATAATATTCTTGAAAAAATAGTTTAAAAATTTTCTTTTCTTTCACTAACATATGAGTTCATTTCATATTCAACTCCTTAGCTCTCTAAGACGAAATGCTGCTTACTTTAACATATTTCTTCCCCTTATTTCCACTTCCATAACTATTAGTATTCTACTCGACCTCAGGTTACTTATAATCTATAGACAGGGTTACAGAAACGAACGGCTAACCTAAATTTTTGCTTTTCTAATAAACAAAAATTTACCTTTTGTGAAATTCATAAATTAACACCTCTTGAGAAAATTAATAAATTACCGTTTGTGTAAATTCATAAATTATCACTTTTATTAATCTGTAGCTCAGATTTACTAGATTTTAATTTATTATTATTAATAAAGTAGAGATTTTACGATTAAATTATTTACATTTGATTACTTTCAGTAAAGTTTTAGTCTTCATCAATTCTTTTTGCTGCAGAACGGTCAGCAATCTTAATTACCGCAGTCATTATGTTATGCTTCCTGAATCTTGTTATCTACTTCCGTTTTGTTCTGCATTAGATAACTGATTATTTTTATATTTCTTTTTACCCTTTCAAATGGCATTTTCAACGTGTAGGGCCAAATATTACGTCTACTAATGTCAAAATTTTTATCTCATGTCGAAAGCCATAGATAGTGACTCGTAAATTTCGTTCGTTAGTAATTTATAAATCTGATCTAAGTTTTGTATTTTTTTCATTTTTTAGATTTATCATTTTTCGGGAAAAAATTCGTTAATTTGCTATCAAGCTTCCAGTAGACTTGCTGCTGCATGATTTGAAAGCAGTTTAATTTGCTTAACGTTATTTATAGCATCAAATAAGTCTATGCATTGCCCCTTCAGAATTCTATTATCTAATTTATATATATGAATTTTAGCAAAGTACTACTATAATTCCTTATCTACGGATGATAGCCTTGAAGACTGTCTCAACTAATTAGTAATCTAATTGCTTTATTTCATTAATTTAAAGATTACTTACGCCTTGATAAACTTTTCATTCGATGGCTCAGAAACAAGGATGGTATTTCTCGTAAAACGAAAGACCTGAAAATGAACGAAAATGTTACGAAAAATGCTACATCAGTTTTTAGTTTTTATTCTTTTTTTATTTCTGTTGTGATCAGCGTTAATTTATAAAGTATGAATTATACTTCAGTCACCTTTAATTAGATCTAACTGTTTCAAAACTGGTATATGATTAATGTCAAGATCTCACGTGTATTTTAAATCTTCATTTTAATTTTAAAAATATTAGAGCTAAGAGATTTAAACCTTTTGCTCATTTTGTATGTTCCTATGCTGCGTAGGTTTAGTGGAAATATAGCATGATTACCTAAATCAGGTCTTAACATATGAGAAATACCTTTGTAGTCGCTAGAACTGGAATACTAAAATATTTTGACGTATTGCTTATACTTAATTAACTATGTCTCATATTATTTTCAGGGCTACTGGAATGGGATACCAAGAACAGATGTCCTGTATCCTCTTTCTGAACCAAAAAGGAAATGTGCCAGTAACATGAGATTAAACAAGATTTATGATGAAGATCTTTGAATGTGATCTGTGCATAGATATGTGATTTATGTGTATTTGTGTAACGTTGAATAATGATGTGAACTAAAAAGGGTTGAACGAAAATTATTAATAATATGATATCTTTGAATCAATGATTATGTTACATGTAAGTAAAATCTCCCTAAAACTGCTAGCTTTGTTTCTTTTTTACTTACTAAAGAAAACTTGTGGGTTACCTAAATGAAACCAGAATGACTAATATATATCTATAAATAACCAAAAGCGTGTTTTAAATAAACAGTAACGTGCTATAAGTCACAAATATATACGCTTTAAACTAATTACATTTCCAAATCTCTAAAATAATTTAAGTCAATATTTTTCTCCCTAAACTACTATATTGTAAATCTGAGACGAATATCATATTTCGTAACTGTTATTGAATAGATCATATTTCTACAAGTTTATTCCTATGTGAAGTTGAATAGAAAAACCTACACTGGAAAAGAATTGTCTGGTTGAGTTTTATCCCTGGTAGCTAAACAATTTGGCTAAATGAAAGTTTTGTAATCTTCCAAACTTGTAATGTTAAATGTTAGGCAGTTCTCGTCAAAATTCCTTAATTCATAATGTTATATGCTTATTATTGCTTTAGTCCATATTTGGGAAACATAAATTTTCACTGTTTCTTGTATTCATGTAAAATATATTTATAAAACGTGTTTTGGAAACATTAGTTTTGCTAAACGTTTCCAGAACTAACTGCAAAATATCATTAATAAGTTAAGGTACACTGAAACAAAAATCTGATGTGTTCACCACATGACTTCCTTGTACGGAATATTAAACTATATGCAGTTTTTTCTTGAATTTCATTTAAACTTATTGGATTGAATTAAATCTACTTTGTCGATAGCGCATAAACCACAATAGAATAAATGCACTCTTTGAAATTTACTATATTTGTTTACCATAGCGGCGCTCTGGCGCTAGGTTCGTACCTTTCGATGCATTTCGTCAATCGGCACAGTAGAACGGGAGATATGAAACTGTCTCTTAATTTTTTTTCGCAGTGTACATTGAAATTAATGTGATGTTAGCAAGCTATTTCTTCAATTGTAAATCTTTCTACAAACCGTAATTCATACGTTGCTGGAAAAAGAAACAATTTCTTCATTTATTTGAGACGTTGTAGGGTTACATTTGATTCGGTAAAGCTAATTATTTCAGTATCCCTAAAAGACGTAGAAAGAATAATCGCAATGTCTGAAACAACGACAAAGTTGTGAGAAGGTTAAAAATAACCTTTTTGTTTCCCACGGAATTTAGAAACGAAGGCCCTCTCTTGTGCTACAATTTCCGCAACTCATGATGATGAAACATAAAACAGAACAGTTCAAATTAAATCAAAAGTTGAAAATATTATTCTTTGTTGAGCAGTAGTCAAGGATTGCACAAATAAGAATGGCTAGTAAGCTGGTTCACTAACACTACTGGACTAACTGTACAGTTTTCTCTATTTTACCATACATATTGGAGCAGCATAGACAGTTACAGGAACTTCCGTAACCTTTTGAGCCTATTGCCATTCTTAATTGCGTGTTGATTGACCAATGGAAATCCGTGAAGACTTTTCGGACTTTTCGAGAGAAGGACCTGATTAAGCAACCCTCACCTGCATCGCTACACCTGCAAGGCTCCACGTTTTATTGGCTCCAAAAGGATCTCATAAATAATCGTAATTTTGTTTCCTTGAAAACGACGAGAGTGAGCTTAGGGAAACCTGAAGCAGCGCTCTGAGTAGAGTCCCTGATTGTCATAATCGGGCCTTGTTTGCAAGCTGATTTTCTACAGGTTGTTACTCATACGAAACGATAATTAAACAGCCGAAAAACTGTGATATTTTTCCTTTACAGAATATGTTGTATTCGCGAATGTTACCAGAAGTAAATGTGATAGAGGTAAAAATGGACTTCATAGTTTTCTCTGAAATACAAATCTTGAGGCATTTTTCTTCTGTGGGTTGTTCATATTATAAATTTAGATATAAGTGATGTAATAAAAGCCAGTAGTAAACAATATTATTCTTTGTTTCACCAAACCTTTGGAAATCCTCTTGAAGACAGATTCAGATGCCATTAGATACTCTGTAGAGACATTAAGTTATTCTGAAGCAGGAGACAAGAAAAATGAGCAATGTCCTCGCCGGGACTGCAACCATGTACCTCTCGAATACGCATTGAGCGTGCTGACCACTACACCGCGAAGGCATACTAAGAAGGCGGGAGAAATACATTATAACTCCAATGGGAAAATAAAATAAAGCAGGCTTATTCTACAATAACAACTACAGGAAATTTATGGCTCATTGGATGAAGTTAAAAATGAAGTTCGTTTTAATTACAACATAATGCACTGATTTTTCATTAAAATTAAATATTTAAAATTTATGCTTCTTTTGGAAATTTAGCACCATGTTCTAATAAGAATAAATGCTGTCAGCAGACTACTACATCATAATGAACAGATTTAAACCTGTTCTGTAATGCACTGAAAGCTTTAACATATATTATTAAAATCAAGAATAGATTAAAACTACAAGAATGTGTTCGAGAAGAAAAAGCTATTAGCTATGGAAACTCCATTAGCTATGAAGAATGAGAATTTAATTCTTACGTTGAAATTCTGTGAAGGCAATCGCAATTTTACGAAAGCATGATAATTTCAATGCAGGCATCATAACGAATTACGTTAAATAAACTTACAGTTAACATATTTGGAAAACGCATGCGTTTATCTGCATGGTTTGTATACCTATAAATAGGTAGTGATAATTCTTGTTGCCCAGAAGTGGTGGTGCGATAATATGCTAATCACTGGTAGTTCGATTTAGATTCCGATCACGGTGAACGAGCTGGCTCCTCTCCAAACAAGTCCGCCCCGAAAGCATATTGTCCTTTAGACAGATAACCTTAGATTCTTTTGCCATAATTAAAAACGCCAAACTAAAACGTTAATTTTTGATTTTTACACAATCTATTAGAAACAATAATCGAAATTTAGGGAAAAGTGTTACGCTTTCAAATTATTCCATTAGTTTTAGCTTAGTGAGTACACAGTATTAAAACACTGATAATCTGTAAGGTAAAGAATACAATAAATTATCTCAAAAGCATGTTTATGCCACAAAGACTACGCATTTCATCTTTTTGGAACTTTCAACAACAAAAATGCTTCTTCTATCGAAATAAACTTCTCAGAAGTTTACTTTGTAGTCATGAAAACAAGAGCAAACCAAACCAAGTTTTTCTAGCGAAGAGAAAATTAAAATGTAATTTTTACATGTTCCCTCTCTGTGTTTTTTCCAAAGAGGCTACACGAAGAAAGTAAAAGAAAACTTAAAAAATGCACATTCAAATAAAAAGGTGAAATATATTTTAAATATTTCATGGACAGCTGAACGGAATTCGATTAAATACAATTTTCGGCGTCTTTTTTAATTGCCTATCAGTTTCAGAAACCCTTTGTGAAAGCAGGAAGAGATGAGTGAACAATGCTGGGGGTTAAAAGCAAGAGCAGGGAAAATATCTGAAAGAAAAAAAAAATGAATGGTTTTTGTTAAATAAAATTAAATAAATAAATATATTTTTACTGAAATTAAATAGAAACCTTTGTAACTATAATTTCTGTGCGACTCCCTTCTGCATAAAAATTAAAATGCGTATTTTTCGTTTCTACCTATGAATTACCGTTTTTATGAGTCATAAATAAAACTCTATTTTAGTAATATTTAGCTCATTATACTTTAATGCACTGTTTTAAAATGCACTGTTTTTGTTAGCATTATAATTTTTACATTAATAGTAAAGATAAATAATGTAACAATATTACTTAATAAATGTGTGCGTATCAGCTGCATGAATTCACACCTTTATCAGCACCAGCAGCGAAAATATTTTGTCTACTTTACAGCTAAGTATGATTGTTTGCACATGATATGTGATATGTTTGCACATGACAACTTCAGTAGGCGTATCTGCATCACATGTTGTGAGTGAAGCTAGAATCAAACAAATACTCCACAATGAATTCTTTATGTTTGTTAAATATTTCTAACAACTTTTGTTGTAAACGCATTAAAAATATTTAACAGAAAGATGTGTGAGCAACTACATGTAGCTCTAGTAATGTTTATCAGCTTACTTATTTACATTTAGCTTAGAGGCTTGTGTAGACAGCTTAGAAGTTCTAAGATATAATATAAATATGTTTCATGATGAAAAAACACAAAAGTACTTTTCACTGGTTTTAAGTAGGGAACAGAAGGTAAGTTTGTTAGTTTAGTTTTTAACTTTGAAAGTAAGCATTTAAGGATACCTGCAAAACCTTACGTGCTTTCATTCTTACGCTTATGATAAAAGTTTAAAGAGTACTTTAGATTCTCCAACAGATAAAACAATGTTTTCTTTTTTTTTTCTTTTTAGATCATCTTAACCTACTCTAATTTAAGTTATAAACGTTCATCATAGCAAGTAATCCCCAAACTTATGTCAAATATATGCTTCTAGCGCATCACGTTTCTTTTAATGCACATGAAACAGTTCACATAAAATAATTCGCTCTGGTCATCTAACGACCATAAATTTATAACTGCTAAAACAAAATAAATTCAAATAGATTAAGCTGGCTGATATTATGAAATTTAAACTTAAAAGAAATTTTACGTAAAGGAATGAGTATCTTTCCTTTCACATTAACTAACTACTTTTTATAGCGATGGTGAACGTAAATTGTTTTGAAGTAGTAAAATATTACTTAAAGAACTGAAATTCATGATTTTTTATTAATTACTTTTATTATGAAACTATGAAATTACAAATGAAATTACTATGAAACTTAGAATTTTCACATGCCCAAAGAAATTGATTCTGAATTTAGTTCAAAATTGTGGAAATTGAATTAAGTTACAAATGAGTAAACATCAGCATGAGTATTAATTAAATAACATTAAGTAAATATCATATGAACCTATCAATAGGAGTGTGCCTGAAGCCGAGATATACTGGCATCTCGTACCTCCTTTTGTTCCTCAAAAATGAATGAATTTTCTATATGGTAGTTTCGTGGTTTTACTGTTGGATAATACAAATATCAGCAAGTTTATGTGAGAAAGTTCTGCAAGAAAAAAAATCC